TATTGGGATCCCATCCATCTTGTATGTTGACTTCCTATTCTTCTACTTCCCTCATTCTTGGCAAGTATAACCCTGTTTTAAATCCATTATCTTTTTGTTTCACCTGCCCAAAGTGTGCAGTCTGAGTTGCTGTTCACTGTCCTAAGGAACAATCTGGTTTAGGAATGACCGACTGGTTCTTACTGCAGTACATGATATCCTCAGTACTCTCTCCAAATCCATAATTCCAAGACATCTATCTTTTTTCATTCTTTGTTCAGTGTTTTCAGAGTGATATAGTATGTTACCACACCAAAAAACACTGCTTTAACTATTTTCATATTTGGTTGACCACCAGTTTTGCTGAATATGGGTGACTCTTCATTATCCTAAGGAAACACGTCCTTATATAACAGGATGTCAATTTATTGAAATACTTGGATTTGATTATTTATTGGTTTTATTACCAAAACGATAATATACAAAAGGAAGTGTATAGCAGTAACTTTTGTGGAACCAACTGTCCATAAACATATCCAAGGGAGAGATTGCCAATTTTAAAACAGAAAAGGGAATTAGGGGAGATATTCCAACCTGGGAGAGAAAGTAGTAAGAGTCAAATATTTCCAGAACACTTGGGGGTTGCTTAAAACCACAGTAAAAAGATTAGGAAAGATACTACAAAGAGCAAGAGATTACTGGCATAGTTAACAAGCAATGTCACAGAAGCCTGTGCAAGGGGGGAAAAAAGTTTTGTTTCAGAAAAAAGAAAAACCTTGTCCATGTAAGTATCTCCCACCTGATTAGATCATTACTGGGTCTTATCTATACTGCAATAGGTTAAAAAAAATGAATTGCTTTTATGCTTCAAGTTCTCAGCTATTCAAATGTACCTGTGATCGGGTTACCTTTAGATGCACCATGTCAATGTTCGTTCTGCTAAGACATTTCATCTTCTGAGTATACAGAGCAAGCTATTCATCAGACTGGATGAAGAAAGCTCTTGGTTGCAAATCATAATGCTACTGTCTCCTTGAGGCTTTTCAGGACATCTTTTTTTACCAGCGTTCAATATGATGCAGGTCTTCCCTCAGAATAACTGCAGCCTAGCAAGAAGTTTATTTATTTGTTAGATTTATATCCAGCCTTTTGTTCAAGAACTCAAGGCAGCACACATAACACTGCCTCCTCCTTTTCCTCACAAACACTCTATAAGGTAAGTTGGTTAAGAGAGTGACCAGCCCAAAGAAACCCAGTGAACTTCCACAGCTGAGGATGGACTAGAACGTGGGTCTTAACCATACCACATAAGCTTCTGTGAAGTCTTCCATCAGCATTCCTTTTCCTGTGTTCCTGAATTAAGTTGTGATACTGCAATGCTGACCCATTTACGGAAGAAACTTGTTAATCAAATCAAGCACAATGGTACTTTCAAACAACTGTAAAAGTCAAGTTCATCTACAGGACTTTAGAGAGAAAAGTTATGGTTTGATTGAGAAGCCCAAGCTCCAGATCGTAAAAAGAGCAATTGCATGCATATTTTTCCTCACTATGGAAGACATTGGCAGAATGAGCTGTCTGATAGCTTGCCTGGGCTTTGATGGGGCCTTCACACCTTCAGGAAAAGTGTGACTGTAAAGCACATTTATACAGGATAAGGGATACACAAGGTAGGCAGGAGTTATTTTCCTGGCCCAATCTAATGGATGTCATTGTTCCTTATTCTGACCATGATGGCTACAATGACTCTCCCAATCTGAGGGCTGGCTGTGCCTTCCTCTGAGAGAGAAAAAAAGGAGCCAATTTTTCACTGCAAGGAGCAAGACCTTTGGTTTTCTGACATAGAAATAAAAACAAAACCTACCCAGTAAACTCTAGATCAGTGTTGTCCAAACTTGGCCACTTTAAGATGAGTGGACTTCAACTCCCAGA